AAAACCTAAACAAATAATCAGTTTAATTAGCATTCTCTGACTAAAACCTAACATACAAAATTTGAAGAATAATAAGCAAAATTTTGAATCAATTATATACAATGAACAATAAAATAAAGCAAAATTAAACATAATAACTTCATAATTCAAATTCAATTATCATAATATGCATAAAAAATCAACTGAAAACTATAAAAAATAACATGCACTACTAATTCGACATATATAAGCGAAATTTCAATTGAAAAATTTGAAAAAATGATGAAAAATTTAAGTAAACACACCTTCTTCAGCATCTACAGCCTTCTTTGTAATCTTCTTCTTCACCATTGCAGAATCAACACTACGAAAATCGAAAACAAAATCAAAATCAAAAAACCTAAAAATCGAAGAATCAAAACAATTTAAACTAACAAAAATCTCAAAAAAATAAGTAAACGAACCTAAATTAAGCAAATAACAACTTCACCAGTGAAAAAGAAGAAAGAAAAAGCTCGAAAATCAACAATGGAGGAGAGAGAAAACGCTCGAAATCGCCAGTTACTTGCTTTTTAGAGAGAGAAAAACGAAGAGAGAGAAAGTTATAGTGAATGAATGAAGAGAGAAAAGTTCTATTTCTTTCTTTATTTTGGCAATCGTTAGGAAGCACGTGCCAAACCCACTAAATTGGCAGTTGATGCTTGTCCAAAAATTCCGCCATTCATTAAATTAATGAACACCGGTTTTTTTTTAAAAATTTGTGTAACGTTTAATGTCACATCACAAATATAATTTTTTTTTTAAAAAAAAAAATAGAATTTTATTGTCAAAATTTGTACAGTGTAATGTAGCAAATATATTTTGTTTTTAAAAAAATGTAACAAATAAATTCTAACATGAAACTGTACGTATCTAGAGGTGTCAAAACTGACTTGATCTGAAAACACCATCCGTTATGAACTTTATATAATTTAACTCGAGAACTTCATGATCCAAACCCAATTAGTAACTGAAATCAACCGGAATTTGAATTTGACCTAGTCTTAACTTACTCTTGACACTGATTCTAATTTGATTGACCAGACTAGAACTCGACCCCAAAACAATTGGACCAGCCTTGAATTCAAACCGAACTAGTTTGATCTAACCAAAATTTAACCTAATCCAAAATTTCTCAACAAATACCCAATTCCATCCGATCAATTTTAATCTGACCGAAACTAATTAATATTAATACGACTTGATTTTAACCCAATATGATTACAAACCATGCATAATTTTAAACCCAATCTATTATTAATTTTTTTAAAACATTGACATAAACATATATAATTACTTCAATTCATGTAATTGTTTGATATATTAATTGTGAAGAGCTTTCTTTTGAAAGGTTAGCCGTACGTGAGCATAACAATTTTAAATTTAATCAATTGTGGCTATCATCTATCAATTTGTCAATAGTTCATTATTACTTATCAACTCACTTATGAAGATATGATAAGTCATCGAAAATTCAATTTAAATTTGACTTAGAGATAAAAATAACACAACTGTTCTAATGAGAAAACTAATACTGCTTAAGTGTTGATGACAAGATATGAAACATGACACGTGATGACTTGATAGTAACCCAACACTAAGGTAATTTACTAACTCAATAAATATATCAAGTTTCATCAACTCGATCAAAATTCTGCAAACTCGAAGAAAATTTATATTGGTATTGACCAAATATTGAATCAACCTTATCCTAATCAAATTGAACTGCATCACTGAATTAATATCAACCGAAACGAAATCAATTTGACCCAAATTCATCCAACCCAAAATTAACCATGTCAAATCGATTTTGAAGCCGATATGAATTTAACAAAATCGAATATGAACCGTTCTAAAGTTGAAACAACCCAAATCTGACCTTGCCTTAGCAAATCTTGACTTGAAATTGACCCGACCCAAGCCGAGATTGGTTAAAAGGGTAACCTTGACCCGAACATAGCACACCCAACGTAGTTCAAACCAAATTCCATTCGATCACTCAAATTGACACCCCGAACTGTACCCCCTCTGCCTTTTTGTTCATTAATTTTTTCGCTATTAATTTTGTTAAAAAAATACAATCTAACATTCAAGACTCATTCTCATACTTTTCTTAAAAATAAATCTCAGGTGATCCACAGCTAAAAGTAGTAAAATTAATAAAAAATGTAAAGAAAAAGAAAATAATTAAAAATATTAGTCTGCTGAAGATAGTTGAAAGTGATATGTTGATGATAGTTGATGAAAATCTTTGCGTAGAAGTAGAACTTTTTTTTTTTCATATAATAAAAATAATAACATTATTAAAAAGTAGCTATAATTTGATTGTTTGCCTAGCAAAGGTTTTTATTTTAAGAATTATTCTTTTATTTATTTATTTATTTATTATTATTATTTTTTTTCTTTTCCTTGAAGGTCAAGATCACTAAGCTAAGTCAAATAATATTTGAAAACATTGGATTATATGCTAGGGATATACTAGTACTAGAAGACCTTATCTTCTATCATAATTAGAAATGATATTAAGGTATCATTGGATTCATGCTAGGGATTTTGAAGGTTGATTGAAAGTGAAGGTTGATTCGCACAAAAAATGAAAAAAGTTGGATAGTCTTTTAATTTAAGGAGATAAGGAGTGTAGAAGACCTAATTCTGCCGTCCAAATGTTGTCACTAATATGGAGTCTCCCTTCCTTACTTACTAATCAAATGTTGGCCGCCCTGATTGTAATCCTGCGTTTTCCTACAAAATGGAAAAATACCTCGTAAGACTTTTGGCAAGGGAATATGTTTTGCTCAAAATGGAATTTATATTATGAAAAAAAATACTAATAAAGTACTACTTGTATGAATTTAGCCACCTTGGCGGTGTCACTGATGTGTAAGTACAACTGTACAAGTACCTGGATGAAGTTGACATAATATTATATGACGTATTATGAGGATTTGAATTCCCCTGTTGATTGCTTCCTTTTCAACATTCAAAATCCAATTTAAATTATTACTTAAAATATCTCTAATTTATCGGCAGACTGTTATCATATTACTCCGTAGAATATTAAGCACATAATGTCATGGTACCATTGAGATATTGGCCTAGGGTTAAGACTTAGAGCTCATGTATGATACGTTGAAAGTTTGAATTCTCCACGCTCATTCGTAATGTATATTACCTCATTGACTTATTTGGATAATAAATTATAACAATGAAGTATGCCGCCTTAATTATCTGTTATGATGGCGATTTAGTTCTAAATACAGAGTAGGAAATGAATAAGATAATCACTCCACAGCTAGTTAGAAAAGCCAAATAGACTTTCTCTAATTAAATCTTGTTTCTATTTTTGTTGCCTATTAGAGGGTTGCCTTTCACTGTCAAATTACCTCATGTACACCTAAGAACAGCTATTTAATGATCATTATTTTAATTTGTAGAGATAAAATTGATAAATTTCGTATTAACAAATATTTAACAATGAATATAACCGCCTTGGTGGTGTACAAGCACCTTGACGAGTTTACGTTCACATAATAAAATACGAAATAATTTAAATTTCCCTATTGATTTCTTCACTTTCAATCAACCTTCAAAATCCAATGATACCTTAATATCATTTCTAATTATGATAGAAGATATAGTCAATGAGTTGAATATAATGAATTGAAATTCGTATGAATAAACAACAAAGATAATAAAGAATTCAATGGAAGCACAATGAACGGCGCGATTCTCTATTATGATGACATTTTAATTTAATTTTTTTATTTAATTTTTTTTTTTGGGTGAAGAATGATGACATTCTAATTTTAACCAAGAAACGAATATATAACTCCATGATCCATGAGAAAAGTCAAATATAATAATCCTTCATTTTTTTTAGGTTAGTAGCACTAATTTTGTAAGATCAAATTGTTTGAATTTTTAAGAAAAAGTTAATTGATTTATACAACAAATAAAATTATTATGTGAGATCTTGTTATCGTTACTATTACATAGTATTTAAAAATGGCAAAACTAATGAATGGCATGAGAACATTAGATAAGATGACTAAATCGAGAAATATTGGATTGAAATAAGCATTACTTATTACACCAATTGATGTGAAATTTGACATGCATTGCAATTTAAAGATATGAATCATCTTAACTAATAACATAAATACTCAATGAATTTTCTTACAAATGGAGGTAAAACTGCAAATAGTACAACTCTATAAATGAGAAAACAAAACACCCTTCATATGTTGTAAATTAATTGCGATATTATAATTTATACATTAGTCCATACACAAAATTAATCATTAAAACTTCTTTGTATATACATAGAGTAGTCACATGTTAATTATGAGAAATATAAGAGATAATGCATTAAAAGTTTAAAACTTCTTTGTTCACGTTAGATAATAGCGTCTATTACAGTTGGTCGAAATATGTTTATAAATGATAAAAAAAAAGGATGATATTATAGTAGTCATCCTTTTTTTTTATTATTTTTTTAATAGAGTAGTTATCCTTATATTGACTACCCTTGTACTATTTTTTTTGGCTAACTTTGATTTATTTTTTAATATTTAAATCAAATATAAATTATTTTCTAATTTTTAAAATTCATTAATTAATCTTTTTTAAAAATTTGAATATTTTTTACTTTCTGAATTAATTTACAAAATTCAGTTTTTATTATTACTGATATTAAAAAATAGTTCAACAATTAATTATGAAAATATAAAAATAAATAAATAAAAAATATAATGGTTTTTATTTTAAGGATGACTATCATAGAAAAAAAAACTTGATAATTCATACTACATTTTTTTGTTTCCCTTTTTTATGGATGCTGGATTGGTAATACATTTTCCAATGTGTAATTTATCTTCAACTCTTGACAACTACTCATACATGATAGTACTAATAAAATACTAGTATATGTAATGACTATCCAGAATATTCCCTTAAAATATTTTTCTTGAATATTACACAAATTGTTATGCACGCAATAATGTACACAATTTCATCCATAGACGAATTAAAAATATTTCCGTCAACTAAACAGTAGAATTTCCCATCAACAAATCCAATTTTGCTAATTAACTCTAGTATTCCAACTAGTAAGCAACATTAGTTAGCCCAAACAAAGAACCATGCATGCTATAACTTTCACAATTGCAGTTTTACTGCTCTCTTCTATTATCCCAGCAAACTCGATAGAACCAATGACCATGTTCACTGCCCCGAAGATCACGCAACCCGGCTGCCCTCGCAAATGCGGCAACCTTACCGTCCCCTACCCATTCGGGGTTGGCTTGGGAGGCAATTGCTCAAGAGGCTTGTGGTACGACGTCTTTTGCATGACGTCTTACGATCCTCCGAAAGCATTCCTTATACCAGCCGAAGATACACTTAAAAAAGGAATAGAGATCCTCGATATATCTGAAACTCATATCCGTCTTAAAAATCAAATTGGTTACATTTGCTTCAATTCAACAAACGTTATATCACCTAGATTTGCCGATATGATTAATTTCGTGCTCCTCACCAAGGCCTCTCCCTACAGTGTGTCAGGTATGAAACAAGGCACCTTCTTACTAAGAAAAAATCATAAAGATTTTATTTAATTATTAAGGATTTTTTTTTTTTTTTTGAAAAACTATCTTTAAAATTTCGAATTTTGCGAAAAACTACTTTAAAAACAAAATATTGTAATTAACTACCTTATAAAGTATAAAAAGTTGTAATTGACTACCTCCAACCGGAATAACACATTTGACTTTTATTTTCCGGTGTTGACCATGTAACGTGAGGGACATATGACCTTTTAATGAATTGGTGTGAAGCGGGAAAATTTGTGGAAAAGGGCGGGGGCGCGGGGGGGGGGGGGTGGGGGTGGGGGTGGGGGGGATTAAGTCATTAAAGGGTCACGTGACCCTCACGTGACATGGTCAACGTCGGGAAATAAAAGTCAAATGTGTCATTTCGGTGGAAGGTAGTCAATTACAACATTTTATACTTTATAAGGTAGTTAAATCTTGAGTTTAAAATGTAGTTTTTCAAAAAAAAAAAAAATCCAATTATTATTGTTATTATTATCCTTATTTATGTGCACTAATGCAGTGATAACTAATATAACTCCACTACTTACCCATGTTTCCCATACTTTTGGCACTAGTTAGTATGTTGTTTGCTTAAAATTAGCATTATTAGTATTAGACTTTAATTTATATAAAGGCCTTCGGTGTACGTTATTATTTGCTCATAAATTAATGCAGTAGCTTTGTTTATAACATTTTATTCATACATTTGCATTTTTAGAACCTGTTCACATTTACTTAATTTCAGTTTAGTTTAGTTTAGTTTAATTCAGGTCAGCTCTTAATTTCCTTCGCTCATAAAATATCCAGTTCATTTCAATTCAGCTCCACTCAGTTCAGTTCAATTCAGCTCCAATCAGTTTAGTTTAGTTAAGCTTATTTCAGTAAATGTGAACAGACTCTTAGTTCCAACACTCCCCCCTTTTTTAAATACTTGCTCCGTATTTCCATACGCGGAGTTTTAGAAGAAATTGGATAAAGTAATAAAGGAAAATTTGCAAATTGCAGCCATTTAAAGTTCGTATTTTGCAAATTGCAGCCATTTAAATAAAAAATTGCAAATTGCAGCCCAAAAATTCATATAAATTGTAAATTGCAGCCCGATTCAACTTTTTCATCGGTCTTCAAGTTGAAAAATCTTTGGTTAAGGTTTTAGGGGTCATTTTAGCCCTTAAGGGCCCGAATTGAGCTCGGAATTAGCAAAAAAATAACGCAAGTATCTCGTTTTGCGTAACAAAAATGTATCGATTTGTGGGAAACTGTAAATATGAGACACTTACGTTATTTTTTTTGCTAATTCCGAGCTCAATTCTGGCCCATAAGGCCTAAAATGACCCCTAAAACTTAACTGAAGATTTTTCAACATGTAAACTAATGAAAAAATTGAATCAGGCTGCAATTTGCAAAAAAAAATTTAAATGGCTGCAATTTGCAAAATACAAACTTTAAATGGCTGCAACTTGCAAATTTTCCAGTAATAAAATATGAAGGTAGAGGGTAGGAAGAAAAATAAAAATTATAAACACCAAAAGTAGTTGAGAGAATTGGAGGAGAAAGAATATGAAACTAATAAAATATGATTTATGTTGGGTCCATTAGGCGAGAAAAAATGAAGTAAATATTGTAAAAGATTTCCAAATAAGAAAATGGAGCAAATATTTAAAAAATGTCCGAAAAGAAAAAGTTGAGCAAGTGTTTAAAAAGGGGGGGGGGAGTATTTATTTATGAAGATGACATAATTTATTATTGACTAAGATGGTAAAAAGTTTGATTTTATTTTCCTAAGGTTTAGTGTTCCAAACCCATAATAAGTTTTTTTTTTATATATTAATCTATCAAATAATGGTAGTAAAGCTTTGTTAAGTGATGATGATGTGTTGTTTAGTGATGATGTGGCATAATACTTGTTGAGTGATAGATGACATGGTACAATGCTTGTTAAGGAGGGAATGATGTGGCAAATAAACGATTTTAGAAACGTTTTTTAATAGATAAGTATACATAGGTAGATAGATTTTTGAATACATATTTCTCACATACATTTGTCAATGGATATAGGCACAACTAACAAATTCTTCGCTGTGGGGTGCAACGACTACTTTACTGTGTCTGGGTCAATAACCAATGATCCTTCCTTCTTCATAATCTCCGGTGATGGAGGCAAATCATGCCGAACCAAGTGCAGCACCGGTGCCAAGGATGTCGTAGCAGGCGAATGCAATGGCATAGGGTGTTGTCAATCCACAATACCCAACGGAATAAGATCTTATGAAATGCACGAGTATAATAGTAATCATACGAATATTTCGTCTTATAACCCTTGTGGATATTCATTTGTGGCAGACCATGAAAGCTTCAAATTTCGCGGGCTTCCAGATCTTGATGACCCAAACTTTATCAACAGAACAATGTATGACGCTCCTTTGGTTCTAGATTGGGCCATATCTAATGTTACGTGCGCCAATGCTCGACGTAATCGTGACACTTACGAATGTAAAGGGAACACTAGTTGTGTCAATGCCGACGATAGTGGCATTGGAGGGTATCGTTGCAAATGTCTTCCAGGTTATGAGGGTAACCCTTACCTTAGTCCGGGGTGCTCAGGTATGTTATCTTAAGTACTTTTTCTGTTTAGAGAAGAGATAATTATACCATTTTGACTTTTACATTTGTTAATGCGCCACTTCAAACATTAGTATCTTTAATCAGCCTTATAAAAATTGAATAAAAAATGATAAATTGAAAGTGGCATTAAGACTAATCCCAAACATTTAATATTGAGACTTTCATACCAAAACTAATATGCCATCTTTACCCCATCTACACATTACAATAAACACAGTTATGTTAGATCTCATTAGAGTCATCTTGACAGTTATTTTTAATATATGTTTGTACGGAGTAATATTTTTACATTACACATCCAATAGTATTAAGGGCCATAGTTGCACGTTATTGAATGTGCCAACTATGCCAAGTCAGAATGAATCAACTAAAAAAACTTCGATTTTTTTTTGACATGTAAATGTTTCCCCTAAAAAAAAAACTAATGTTATCATTGGAAATAAGGCAAAATGCAGATATGTTCAAAGAGTGTAGGTAATATAATTAAAGATAGTAAGATCAAAATTGTATTGACAAATGTACTGTAAATGTCAAACTATTGCAATATTAGCAAACTTTTCAAATATTAAGGGTTCTAATATATATAATACAGTATGACTTATATGTTTCTTAATTATTAGCCAATGTGTGGTTCCTACAGGTGTGGGTACCTTGCATCGTACCACCATTTCGCAAAAAGAATATATTATACAAATGTAAAGAACATATAACTGTAGGGAAAAGAACATACTATTATAATATAAAGAACATATACCTAAAGTAAAAGGAACATATTTGCACCAAAAAAGAGTGAAAAGAACATATGTCCATGTTCTTTGATTGTCAGTGTAATGAACTTTTATTTGTGATATAATGTTCATTGCTTATTGTGAGGTTCATTAAATTTTGTCATAAAATTATGGTAGATATATCTTCATGTTCTTTATTAATATTACAGATGTTCTTTACGTACATAAAAAAATATAAAAGTGGATGTTCTTTACAAAACTGCTATATGTTCTTTAAAAAGCAACAGTATGTTCTTTATAAAACAACTTCATGTTCTTTCCGCGCTTTTTGTTAGTACCAAGCAAAGTACAGGCTGTTGTACCTTAAAATTTTCAGGCACCTTTTTTAAAGAGGTTAGTCAAGAGATGTTAAACTGACAAAGTATCTCCTACCAATCGAAGTATAAATTAGGAAATTTTAGATTTTAACACCATATAAAAACCCGAAAATGGTTTTTAACACCTCCATAAAAAAAAAAATTGATTTTAACACCACCCAAACTAACAAAAAATGGGTATTACCACCACTTTACGAATTCCTCGGAATCAGTTAAGTGCCACGTGTCGCTTTCTTATTGGCCAAAAAATTAAAAAAAAAAGACCTAAAACTACCCAACTACCCAGCCACCCAGCCTACCGCCGCGCCACCACCACCTAACCACCCACCCATCCTGCCCTCCCAAAAACCACCACCAGCGACGCCTTCGCACCCCCAACCCAGATGAAACCTCCCCCTCCCTTTCCCGCAACCGCTTCGCCCCCAAAAACCACCTAACCCAAAACCCTCCTTCCCTAATACAGTCACGATTCCGGCCAAAAATGGTCGAAATCGGCCGATTAAGGCAACTCAACCCCAAAACTGGCCGATTGATGATAACATAATTAATAGTAATTGATGATAACATAATTAATTCTCCTGTTATGTAATCATGTATGTTGCCATTACATTTCTCGTTCAATTGGAGACAAGTTCGTTGGTTGCTTACATAATCCTCCTAGATCAATTGCGACTTCCTTCATTGTTGGCCTGTCATCACCCTTAACACTTAAGCATCGTTGTACAAGATTTGCGATAAAGATAAGCTGCTCTTGAGTTGCTTCCACAATCAATTGAGAGTCCAGAATGTCGAATAAATTGTCTTCTTGTATCGATTGTATTATGCATGCTGCCAAATTGCAATTTTGGTCCATTTGCCTCCCCGGTAAAAGAGGCCTTGTCCTTGTTAAGAGTTCAGCGAGAACAACACCAAAACTATAAACATCACTTTTCTCGGTTAATTGGCTTGAAAAAAAGTACTCTGGGTCTAGATATCCTAGTGTACCTTGGACCACGGTGGATAAATGGGTGTGATTTGATGGAATCAATCGTGAAGCACCAAAGTCGGATATTTTTGGTGTATGACTATCATCTAGTAAAATATTTGAAGATTTGATGTCTCGATGAATTATTGGTATTGAATGTATATATGCTAGTGCATTGGCCAAGTCCATGGCAATTTGCAAGCAATTGCTCCATGAATACCAAGAAGCACCATCTATATTGTGAATGTGATCATGTAACGTGCCATTGGAAATAAACTCGTAGACTAACAATGGGACTTCAACCTCCAAACAACAACCTAGAAGTCGTACCACATTTGGATGTTTTGTTCGTGCTAGGAGGATCAACTCATTAATAAATTGTTCAATTTGACCCTCATCCATGAACTTTGATCTCTTAACAGCAACAATTTGATTATTCGGTAATAATCCCTTGTAAACTGTACCATAGCCACCTCGACCAATGATCCTTTCTTCCTTGAAGTTCTTGGTGGCCACCATCAACTCATCAATAGTAAAGACCTTTACTTGCTCCATGTTATCATGCGTATTGGGGGTTATTAGTTGATTCAACAACAAACCTCCATTTTTTTGAAAGAACAACTCTTTCATTTTTGAAATCCTTCTTCTCTTCCCGGCAAAGACCATCCAAATGAGTGCAATGAGTAAAAATAGGGAGCCAAAGCCAACACCTGTGAGTTGACAAAGTATAATTTCCATTAATAATGGAAGTGTAATTTCCTGAAAGAATTACTAATAATAGTGGAAAGATATAATTAAATGTGTAAAACAAAGAGGTTTGCTCATGCTATTTAACAATTAGTACCTAAGGCAACCTTCATTACAGGAAATTGTCGTTTGCAACCCGTTCCTTGTTTTCTACCATCACCAGCATATCCTGATGGGCAAGAGCATGTGTAGTTTCCTGGTATATTCGTGCATATCATAGAGCATGGGGTACTACTTGGATCCGCGCATTCATTAATATCTATGCACATTAAAAGAATACAAAACAAAAATTATCTCACTCTTTGCAACAGTAGTAAATTGCAAATGCTGAATTGCAACATTTTGATTTCAAAATTGAAAAAAAAAAAAAAAAGAAATAGGAATGCATGAATCTTGTACATATTATCATACACAATATTTTGGTAATAATGACTTCATTGACTACAAATACTATTTGTTCAAACAACTTAATTTTTCTGTTTTCATGGAGATTTCATGATCCAACCAAGGTGTAGAAAATCCATCTTATATGACATAGGAAGGAAATAATAAGGTTGAATCGATCTGTTACTCCATAAATGAATGAACAAATATTTGGAGAAGTTGAATTGGTATCGTGCACATACCTGAGCAACCAGGAGAAAGATATGGATGGCCTTCAAAACCAGGAAGACAACTGCATCGATAACCTCCAATACCACTATCAATGGCGTCGACACAAGCAGTATTTTGCACACATGCATAAGAGTCGAGATCATGTTGAGCATCGGCACATGTATTATTTTCTATGACCCAATCTAGCACCAAAGGAGCATCGTATATTGTCCGGTTTATAAAGTCGGGGTCATTAAGATCTGGAATCCCACGAAATTTGAAACTTTCTTGGTCTGCCAGAAATGAGTACCCACAAGGGTTATATGTCACAATAGTCGTGTGGTTACTGTAAAAAGTATCAAATGCCAAAGAATAAGATCTCATCCCGTCAAGTATAGAGATTTGACAACACCCGATGCCATTGCATTCACTTGCAACAACGTTATTGGCCTCGACGCTGCAGTTTGCTGTACATGTTACACCCCCATTGCCCATCGTTACAAAGGGAGTGATGTCGATGTTTGCCTCAAAATTTGCGCTATCCTGACATCCTACAACAAACAACTTGTTTGCAGTACCTGCATATATGATGCGGTTCCAAGGCATCAATATTGTTATTATAATTATTTTTATTGTTATTTTTAGTTTATTATTAAATGACCGAATTTATTAGGATATTTTTGTTAGTTTAATTCGGTTAGTATAAGATAAGCTTAACTTTAAAGATCATATTTGCAAAATATTATCTTTACAAGTTAGAGTTAGTTTCCTAGTTAGATTAGAATTTGTTTTACCGATTTTTAGGCTAATTATTTAGCTTATAAATACGTGATGGTGTTTAACGAAAAGTATGATTGATTGATTTGAAATTTATAAAGTTTTACGTAAGTTTGTGCTTGTGTATTCTTGGCCTATTTTAGGTTTTAAGCTCGTGTTGCTTAGCGTTTCTTGACCGAGACTCAAGATTCCAAACCTTTCAACTGCGATTGAAGGTTATATCCATCAAAATTCATATCAATATAGTAGACACTAATTCATTTGAATGTTTGTAGCACAATTTTTTTTTTTTTTATTTTGTTTTGTAAGGTGCACATTTAATAAATAGAATAATCCAAAGGAAAATTTTGTAAAAAACTACCTATTATAATCCAGAATTTGCAAGTCAACACCGAAGAGTTATGGTCAAACTTCATATTCCGGCCTAAGGTAGTGAATTACAACAATTTTCAAAAATTAGGTGATTATAATATGTAGTTTTTCACAAAATTTCCTAATCCAAAATATAATGTAATACAGTCTAGAAAAATCTAGTGAGATAATATCTAAAGAGTCCTAGGAAAATATAGTAGAATAATCTAGCTAGCATTAGATATTATCATATTTTATATGAATAATCTAGATCGATTTAGGCATTTAGCTATGTAACTCCTCCTATTATGTGATAGCCTTATCCAACAAGATAGCTAACTGGACTGTTTGTTAAGCATAAAAATTATTAACAGTATGGAACATGTTAGGGAACCCTAAACTATGTGTTTTACTACCACAAAAGGCAAAGAGTTCGTTAGTGCAACAAAATAATTGTATAATACATCATATCTTAGGTATCGTAGGGTATAACATATTACTACTAATACTAATCTTCAAACTTTCAAAGCTAAGACCTCGCGATTCATGCATGATGATTGTTCTGATCTAACCTTAAATATATTTGGTGAAGTGAGAAACGGATAATTCTTAATACAAATCAATATTAATAATTACGAATTGAATAAGAGAGGGATTACAGAAAAAGTCAAAAACTTGCTAATGTGTGAGTTAGGGATACACTTGTCACTAAGAGAGCAAGTCTACTTCATAATTCCAAGGAGGTTCGATCTAATTAACTAACATCTTTGCATCAAACGAGAACAAAAGCATCGTTTCATCATGAAAAATTTGTAATTACAGCTATAATTCGTCATTTATCACATCACTTGATTAGGGTGATGAGAATCATAAGACCAAGCATATAATTTAATTGGATGCCCTCACATTCTAAAAGTTGACAAACGTTGTGTGCGATGATTGATGAAGCATGGACGGCATGATATAGTTAGATGGTTTATTATATAATTGTAGGAAGTTTTCATCTATGTTTATCATATTATATATACTTTATGAAATATTTTATCTATGCTCTTCACTTCACTAGGTAGTAGTATATTGGTGAAATTTTACAATGATGACCCTTCAATAGTTAGTATAAAATTACTTATCCAACTCACCTTAGAAGATGTATAATGGCCTGGCAAAGCATTATTTCGTTTGCTCTCCTACTCTTCACATCTCTTTCGTTCATTTCTTTCATAACCGCCACTCATCCTGAATTAATAGGCTTGGAATGTGACTACTCAAAGGGCAATAATTATATAGAAAATAGCTCCTACCACTTAAACCTCTTGAGTGCCTTCTCTAATCTTACTTACTTTTCCTCTTTCAATACCTTTTCCAATCTCACTGCAGGCTCAGATGAGGATGCCACAAACAAAGTTTATGCCTTATACGACTGTCGGCTTGATCTCACCCTCCAGACATGCCAGGATTGCATTGAAGACGCCACAAAGTTTCTTTTAAAGATGTGCCCCTTGAAAGAGTCTATGGCCGTATATGGGGTGTGTAAAATTACTTCCTTCAATTCATAACTTTGAACCTAGAATTTATTATTGCATCTTTTAGTAAAAATAACTATAGAAATTTTATATGAATTTCATAAGATCTTGCATGAGTTCGTTCTTGGATTTAGGACAAGGGTGTAGTAAGGTAAGATGAATGAGGGATTCATAAGATTATGTCTGTTGAACATAAATAAATAAATAAAAAATAATAAAATAAAGAAGAAGAAGAAGAAGAAGAAGAAGAAGAAGAGATAGACAAGAAGAAACAAAATGAAACTTCATAGATTATGTTTGTTAAAGCCAATAACTAACAAAAACTAACCAAAACATGATAATAAGATGATTTGACAAAGTAAAACACTAAAAAATGTCCCACTACTCTAACCATTAAGATAATATCTTGCCAATAACATATTACCACTACTTACATTGAGTACTAATCTACAGGAACACAACCAATCAACACTGTTATGTAATGATCTTTGGAATTATCCATATTAGGAATTTAGGTAACTTATACCAAAGGTTATGCCAGCATTCTTCATCTCATGCATATATGATGATTCGATCAAAAAATACTAGTGTCAATTTATTATATACGAGTATATTTTTAATGGCAGGAGTGCATGTTACGCTATGCAAACCGTCCAATCTTTGCTATGATGGAGCTGAGGCCCTCGTTTATTGAATGTGTGATTAGTACGCCTGATGGAGGTGAATTGAATCGAACAGTTGAACCGATCTTTACAAGGCTTATAGATGAAGTCACATCGAGAAATTCAGCTCAGTATTTTGCTGTAGGAGAAGGGAGTTATTTTGAATATCAAAAGGTGTATTGTTTAGTGCAATGTACTCCGGATATAAGTAGGGTGCAATGCAAAGAGTGCTTAATGAATGCCTTGAATTACACGCTTCAATGTGCAAATAGTAGTAGTGGGTTGGGAAGCTATCACAATGGACCAAGCTGCCAGACAAGATATGGAGTTTTTCCTTTCTTTGATCTATCCTCATCATCTCGTCATCCAGTTCAACCTACGGCTTCTCCTCCCATTTCGCCACAATTAAGGACAAGCAATATCGGAGTTCAAATCGATCAAAAGCTTTCTTATACTCTATTTATCAGTCTTTTATTTACTATTTGGACTTTGTTAAAAACGTGATAGATTCTAAGGAGTAAGGACGGATGTACTAAGTTATTCTTAGTCCCATAAAAACTATACTAAGGCCCTGTTCTCTTCACCTTAAAAAAATAATATTAAGTAAAAATAATTTCAGTTCAATAAAAATAAGTTTAGTTCAGCAAAATTCAGTTTTATTAAAGAAGAATTATAATAGAAAATTAGTAAAAATAATTTCAGTTCAGCAAAAATAATATTTTCACTTCAGTATAATTAATTTAAGTTCAGTCAAAATAATTTAATTTCAGCAAAAATAATTTCAGTTTAATAAAAATGATTTTAGTTCAATAAAATTAAGGTCAAGAGAACGGGGCCTAAGTTATTCTAATTCTCACATAATTATCCTTAAACTATTAAAAGTTACCCGAATTACCTAGTTACTTATTACCCTTAAACTATTAAAAGTTACCTATAGTGTCATAAAATTAAAGTTACCCATATATTTTCCCTTTTTCTTCCTGCCACTATCTAAATTGTTGTACACCCAGTCTTTTAAAACATTTGTCCAATCTAAATTACCAGTAAGGACACTATAATATAATGGTGTCGTTCATGATTTTGTAGACAAGATAATGAAGGACACTATTATATTATAGGAAATAATGTAGCTATACCAGTCTTTTATTTTAATTTTTTTTTTTTTATAAGGATAATTTCCTAGTAAGTAAGGAGAAATTTAGAGAATCGAATCCTTTTTACAGGGGTGAAAGGAGGGCCGCCATTCATTAGGCTAACCTTGATTCTCATTTATTCAGTGAGTTTCTATTCAAAATTTCCTATAAACAAACATTTAACTGAATACGGAAGGCCAGGGTATATTGCATACAGCATTATACGTGTGGTCCATTGAAGATAATAAAATCCTAATTATATATGAATCTTCCATTTATGTTGATACATACAACAATTTTTTAATGTATTTTAGGGAAGATTATGATATAGAGTCGAGTTGTACTGTCTACAACCAATTTTTTTTATTTTTTTTAAATAAATTTCCCGAGGATGGAATTTAAGAAGTATTCATGAAACTATTATAATCTGGCGAAAACTAATCGATTATTGTCATAATCATTCTTGCATTATAGAATCAACTCATAGTTGGATTATAGTTGGAGTTTAGTTGGGATAATTTTAGTATTGTTTTTGCTGATGAATGATTGGAATGTGGTACGTTTCCTTAGGTCAAACATATTTGAATCGAAGCTACTTCTCTCCCACTATTCAAAACAATAATGAAATAGCTAATAATATAAATATTTTTTTTATACAAAATTTGATGATACCTAAATGTACAAGGTCAACATCCTTATTAGCTTGTTAAATATGGTGCTAAGCACCCTAAGAGCTCGCTGCAGATATTAAACTCGAACCAACGACCTTTAAATTTGTATATCTTTCCAAAATTAAACACAAATTATGGTATCATCACCTTTTCATGGCTTCCACGTAACATGTTTCCTCGTTATTTTCACTTTTTGTCTTAATTGTGTTTCATCGACTACTGAGGGGACTAAAGAGTTTATTGTGAGAAAAGATTACATATGCGACGATACCAAGGGCACCTATACTAGTAATGGTACTTTTAGTTCAAACCTTAAACTTGCATTTTCCAATCTCACTACTCTCTCTTCTTCACGCATCTTCTCCAACATCACGATCGGATCTGACGCCGCTGACAATGTCTACGCCCTTTATGACTGCCGGAATGATATTTCTCTAGATTTATGTCACCGCTGCATTGAGGACGCCATTAAGAGTATTCTAGATCTTTGCAATGATCAACCTAAAGAGGCCATTGTCTTTTATGAGGTAATGAAAAGTATGCTCGTTCACGTATGTACTTTATGCATCTTTCCATTATGTTTATATTAAATTATATAGAATGACAATACATATAAAAACTTTTTGTAAGAAATTACCTAATAAAACCCAGATTCTATGAGAAACTATCTAATCAAAAGGTAATTAAATGATACCTTAGACCATTGTCACATATTAGGTAGTTTTTCATAGAATCTGAGTTTTTTATTATGTAATTTCCGACAAAAAATCCAAAAAATGTTATTTCATTATTAACAACCAATGCAGTAGTTTTTTTTTTTTTTTTCTTTTACTAGTCCTATAATAGGGTGAAACATTATATGGAAGAAGAAATTAAAGTAGGACCAATTAAAGTAATTAATTAAACATTCTAAGGATAAACTTGAATTTATAATGAATCTATTAATTTGAATTTCCATTACATTTGCTCTCTTTTAACCAGGAATGCATGTTACGCTATGCAAACCGCATGATCTTCTCAACTATGGAGCTCACCCCAAACTATACGAATTGCGACTTAGTCTATTATACCAACCGTGATATCAAAGAGGCTATCAAGTCAACCCTCAAATCACTAGTCGACGAAGCAACCAAGGAAAGTAAATCATCGAGTTATTACTTTGCATCTAAGCCTATGATTCGTATAGTGGATAGGTACTTCTACTTTTTGGTGCAGTGTACACCCGATCTTAGTAGGGTACAATGCAAGGAATGTTTGACGAATGCTTTAAATTTCACGGTTGAATCGTGTGCGAGTGATCATCGATTAGGAGGTCATATTACGGGGCCAAGTTGCGAAATGAGATATGAAGATAAACTTTTCTTTAATGTGTCATCGTCTAACCATAATTATACTCCGCGTCCGGTGAAGACCATGTCTACACTTACTATGATTCTCTTAATAGGTTCTTGCATTGCACTTGTGGTGTTACTTAAGATGTGTTTGCAAAAGATCTTAAATTGGTGTAGACAAAGAACAAGGTTTTGAGTGAAGTCTTTAAGTGAGAAGAGGGATCTTTCAGGGAAGATCTCGAGTTGCAACTATTAGAGGGAATAGTTGTAGGGAGTATGAGTTCGTCGAGGAACTTCGTAGAGGCTCAAGTTCCTCAGCTCATAGGCTGTAACAGAGTCGTTGTTGGTCTTTTTTAGTGAAATGTTTTGATTCAAAATCTCTTGGGACGAGGTTTTTCACTTCCTATTAGGCCTCGGAAGTTTTCCTCGTATAATCTCTCTTGCACTATTTCTCTCCTTGCGTTAAGTTTCTTTTAATTCCAAAAAAAATGACTAGCAAACTCAATACAATTCACCCCCATCTTGTAGTATTTCATCTAAATAACAGTTCAAGGTTAGAAAATGAGACTCTTTTTAACTTGTTCGAATGCTCCATTAGCCTGATCGATGTACCAAGCTTCACCTATGAGTAGATAAGACAGGTGAATAGGTGATGGAGTTCAACGACATCTCATGTCAATAATGAAAAACTTTGTTTTTTTTTTCATCATCTTTTAATTTTGTTTAATGTAAGGATGTTCTTTGTTTCTTTAATAAATAATGTAATAATAATTTAATATTGAACGTGTTCAATTTTCTTAAAACAATTGTGTCGATTGTGCAAGAAACAACCAACGACGGTGGCACCATCCTAGTTTGCGCTCTGAAAATGGTATATTTGAGGACTCATCAATGTCGTTTTGCCGTATATAAAATATCATTATATTGCTGCTACAACTACATACACAACTTGGTCCCCCATGCCAACAAAGTGATTGGCTTATTTGATAAGGTTCTTACATTGAATTCTAAAAGTCAGAGGTTTGTACCCTACCAATAGTTACCAAAGGAAATTATTATTTGGGGGGCGGTTAGAGATCCTTTACACTCGCACATACTCCCCTTACCTTATTATTGGCCACTAATATTTTCTTATAATTGGGATTATATTTACTACGGAGTACTATCCAAAGAAAAAAAAAAACAAACAGGATCATATATATGCAAATAAGATTTATTTTCTTATAATTGGGATTATATTTACTACGCAAGAAGACCTCGTAAAAAAATGCAAGGAAGACATAAGAAACTTTCTACTGATCATAACATTATAAGGGACAGAGGAATCAAAGTGTATGGAAGACGACGTATGAACTATGAAACATGATTCTAGCACCACCAACTAGGAGTTGAGTCAATCGAATATAAATTATCATAATGTTTTTTTAAGGTAAGAACCCTTACTATACCTCAACTTCCATATTATCATTGCTATGAGCGATAAGTACAACTAGTTATGTTCTATTATAATAAATAATAAAGTGAAGGAGACATTATACTTTCCTTGCCATTTGGATTTGGTTTTTAATATGGTAATGACTTAGTTTTAAATTAATTTAATTATTTTGTAGGCCAAATTATGAAGGACACTATTATATATAAATGTAGTAATGTACTATGTATTTTGTATACCAAATATACAGCGAGTGCTCTCGTTAATCTTTAGCTATAAAGAAACATGCATGTTTCTTTCAAAAAAAATAAATAAATAAATAAAGAAACATGCATGCAATGGAATACGGCAGGCGGCCAGGATATATCGCATATGTGTGGTCCGTTGAATATAATAATAACACAATTAATTACTAATTAGGCATATTCCATTTATGTTAATACTACAATATTATAATGTATTTTAGGGAAAATTATGATATGTAATTTGAGTTGTATACACCCTGGTTTCTTCTTCGGAGACTTTCAAAGGAGGACGTTGAATTATTCATGAGACTATTATAATCTTGCCAAATCTAATTAATTAGTGTTATAACCATTCTTGCACTAAAGAATCAAGTCATAATTGGAGTTTAATTAGAATTATTTTATTATTGTTTTTGCTGATGAAGGGAATGAGGTATGTTTCCTAGGTCAAATATATTTGAATATAATCTAAGCTATTACTTCCCTCCCATTTCAAAACAATAATGAATTAGCTAATATATAATAGAAAATTACAAATATCTTTATATTTGATAGTACCTAAATTTACAAGGTCAACATCCTTAACTTGTTAAATATGATGCTAACTAGCACCATAATAGCTGATAATATTATACATGAACCATCAACTTTTAATTTTTTATGCCTTTTCAAATTAAATACGAACCATGATTTCGTCACCTTTTCATGACTTGCGCATAATATTATGTATCGTCTTTATTTTCATTTTTTGGCCTTATGTTTCTTCGACTACTCAAGAGACTGAGGAGTTTTCTAGACTTAATTTTGAATGCGACTATGATAAGGGCACCTATTCAAGTAATAGTACTTTTAGGGTAAACCTTGAACTTGCATTTTCCAATCTCACGGCCCTCTCTTCTTCGCGCATGTTCTCCAATGTCACGGTCGGATCTGATGCTGATGAGGCTAACAAAGTCTATGCCCTTTTTGACTGCCGGAATGATATATCCCTAGATAAATGTCACCGTTGTATCAAGTTTGCCGTCAACAATACTCTAGATTTAGATCGTTGCATTTATCAACCTAAAGATGGTGTTGCCATGTATGAGGTAATGATAGACTTTTTTCGTTCATATGTATATATATACTGTATGCATCTTTCCATTTCCTATGTATTATTGATCATATTATATTGCACTAGCGCATTGTTATAAACCAATTTCAAAACATATTTTACATACTAGTATATAGTTATATACTCCTTGTTTCTTTGAAACTTTATGGAAAAATTATCAAATGCATCCATTTAAAGTTTGAGTTTATATTTTGCAAATTGTAACCATTTTTAAAAAATAATAATAAATTGCAGCCCAAAACTACTAATAACTTGTTGCCCAATCTATTTTTTCTCGATTTGCGTGCCGATAAATGTTCCGTTAAGATTTTAGGGGTTATTTTGATAGTTAAGGATCCAGATTAAGCTCGAAATGGGCAAAAAATTAACAAAAGTATGTGCCTCGTTTTGCTTATAGAAAAAATTAAATGTACTGTATTGAATTACATGTAACATTCTTTTAGTTGTGAAATTTTCTCGAGAAAGGTTTTATGAGTCACTTTATTCCTTAAGGATCCAAATTGAGCTCAGTATTGACAAAAAACAACATAAATACTTCACATATATAACATAAAGGTTTCTTTTAATTTTCAATAAACCCCAAAAAAAAAAAAACATAAAGGTTTCTTTTAATTTTAATTTCCATTATACTTGTCCTTCATACCAGGAATGCACGTTACACTATGCAAACCGCATGACCTTCTCAACAATGGAGCTCACCCCAAACTATACGTATTGCGACTCATTCATGTTCATCAACCGTCCTATCAAGATGGATATCAAGTCAAACCTCAAATCACTAATCGATGAAGCAACCATGAATAGTTCATCATCGAGTAACTTTGCAATTAAGTACGTGAATTATACAGTTGAAGAAGACTTCTATTTTTTGGTGCAATGTACACCGGATCTAAGCAGGGTACAATGCAAGGAATGTTTGACGGATGCTTTAAATTACACGGTCGAATTGTGCGGGAGTGAAGACCGATTAGGGGGGAGAATTGAGGGGCCAAGCTGCAAAATGAGATATAGTGTTGATCCTTTCTTTAATGTATCGTCGTCCGTTCTTATTTCAACCTATGTTACTCCTCCTCCAGATGATCACGATAATTTGTCTTCTGACCTTTCACCCATGAGTTCTACGCCGGTTTTGCCACCACCTTCAACGCCTAGTGAAGGAGGTCGACGACCTTCGATGTCCTCGGAAAAAATTTCTTTTATTCTCGCGTGTTGTATTGCTCTTTTGCTTGTGTGTTGTGTTAGGAAACTTTGTAAAAAAATATGTTGCTAAGTATGTATTACTATGGACAGTTTTTAAGTAGTTATTGATAGAGTATAAAACATATTCCTAGACCTCAACCATAATATTAAGCTTTTGATTTAAATGTTTCTTTAACATGGTATCAGAGCCAACATGACACAAAGGTCACTGTTGAAACTTAAAGGTTTTGATGATAATGAACACAAAATAGCAAAGTTCATCTAATAATCATTTTTTAAGTGTTGAAATTAGAACGGGTTTATAGACTTTGGAAGTGGAAGAGAAACTTGTTTAATAAAGGCTCGAGGAAAATCAAAGGGAAAGTTAAAACTAGTAGAAGAAGAGTTCCACTCTGGAACTAGTTGATGAGTTCCCTAACAGGAACATGAAGATAGCAAGTTGAATAGCTTAACTTGGTCTGCATTGAAGACAAGTTCCACAAAGAACTTGGCCTGCGAGGTTCCAACTAAGAGCTGGAGAGCAAGTGACAACAGGAACTTAGTCCTGGATTAGATTGCGTTAAGCCCAAGTATCCTGACTTACAATATTTGACGAGGCAATTTAGTTTTGTTAAGTTTATATTTTTAAGATTGCTGTAAATATGATTGGCAAGATTATATATGAAATCCGAAACTAATATGACAAAGTATGAACTTGGCAAACTTACACAATTAAGCACTCTTTGAATTTTTCACACATAAACTCACAAAGAAATGTGAAATGTGAATTCTACTATTTATACAATATTAACTCGTATAGAAAGTAAGGTTTTCACGGGTTCGAATCTCATCCACCCCCCACTTTCAACTGGAATATTATTAAGCGGCGGGTATGAGGAAGGCGTAATAGAGTATAAAACATGGACCTATATACACACTTTTTTTCAATTGGAATATTATCACCGCTGTATTATTTAATTTGGTAATGAAGTTGAAGAATAAACCTCTCAAATGTCCCACATTGGTTGAAAAAGAGAGAGTTAAACACTTTATAACGCTAAGGGGATACTCCTCCCATTCCCATATGGTTTTGGGATGGAACCTCCTTTGATCTTGTGAAGTAAACTCTCTCTCTTGGTTTGCGGGTGCGGCCTAGACCCGCGTTTAACAAATGACTTCAACTTAAATTACTTATATGATTTTTTAGGCAAGACTATAGTGTATTATGTATTTATGTTTACCAAATATACAGCGAGCATTCACGTTTAGCTATAAAGAAACATGTAATGGAATACGGCAGTCCAGGGTATATCACATACGTACGTGTGGTCGGTTGTATATAATAAAATCATGTTTAATTAGGCATATTCCATTTATGTTAATACTACAATATTCAAATGCATTTAATTTTGGGGAGATTATGATATGTAATTTGAGTTGTATACACCCTATTTTCTTTTCTTCTTTTGACGGAGTGACTTTCAAAACAGGACGGGGTTTAGTCGTTTAGAAATTATTCATGTAACGATTAAAATCTCGCAGTATCTAATAGTATGAATTAGTGTCATAATCATTCTTGTACTTATAAGAATCAAGTCATAGTTGGAGTTTAGCTGGAATAATTATAGTAATGTTTTTGCTGATGATTGGAATGAGGTATGTTTCCAAGGTCAAACATATTTGAATCCAAGTTACTTCCCTCCCACTTCAAAACAATAATGAATTGATATAGCTAATAATATTATCTCCGTTTTTTTTTTAATTGACACCATTTGACTTTTACATTATTACATTTTGACCTGCTTTTGTGATTTATATATACGATAAAGGATCTTGTTTGAATTGCCTCGATGTATATTTTATTAATATTTACTTTTTATAATTTCACAATGTTGATAATTAAATATATTAAGCGTTAAAAACATCGTTGGCAAGTGTGATAATAGAAAAGTAACAACACAAAAAAAAAACGGAGGTAGTATAAACATACCTAAATGATGTACAACCTCAACATGTTAAAATGATGCTAAGAACTCTAAGAGTTGCTAATATTAAACACGAACCATTGACCTTTAGATTTGTATACCTTCCCAAAATAAAACACGAATCATGGTTTCATCATATTTTCATGGCTTCCACATAACATTTTGTTTCCTCTTCATTTTCAGCTTCTGCCTTTATTGCGTTTCTTCGATTACTCAAGCGACTGAAGAGGAGTTTGTGAGAAATGATTGGGAATGCGACGATACCAAGGGCACCTATACTAGTAATGGTACTTTTAGTTTAAACCTTAAACTTGCATTTTCCAATCTCACGGCCCTCTCTTCTTCACGCATCTTCTCCAACGTCACGGTCGGATCTGATGACGATGAGGCTAACAAAGTCTACGCCCTTTATGACTGCCGGAATGACATTCCCCTTGATAAATGTCACCGCTGCATTGAGGATGCCATCGAGAGTATTCTAGATCTTTGTAATGATCAACCTAAAGAGGCCATTGTTATATATGAGGTAATATTAGTGTACTCGTTCATGTATATACTTTATGCAGATTTCCATTTTTTAGGATTCAATTTGATAATATTATATAAGGACTTTATGTGAAAAATTATCTTAAATACTTCAAATTTGTGAAAACTACCTTATAAGAAAATTGTTGTAAGAAACAACCTTATAAAAAATAAATGTCGTAATTAAGTTGCTACCATGGGGGTTTTCAGCTACCATGTGCTTGATTTAACAATGAAAGAAAAGAGGAATTAGGGGTTATAAGGGGGCTATGGAGAAATCGGGTGGGAAAAAGAGAAAAGATGACTGCAAATGGGTCATTAAACATCCCTTATTCAATTCAATATTCATGCAAAAGGTACCTTCTTACAACATATAGTGTTTTATAAGAAACTAGTTTTTCACAAAAATTAAAATGTATAAATATATATTTATTAATGTCTCTTAATTTTAACTTTGCTCTTTTAACCAGGAATGCATGTTACGCTATGCAAATCGCACAATCTTCTCAGCTATGGAGCTCACCCCAAACTATACGAGTTGCGCCTTAGAATATTACACCAACCGTATGATCAAAGTGGCGATCAAGTCAAACCTCGAAACACTAATGAGCAAAGCAACCAAGGAAGGTTCATCATTATTGAGTAACTTTGCAACTAAGTATGTGAGTGATATAGTAGGAGATAGGTTCTTTTACTTTTTGGTGCAATGTACACCAGATCTAAGCAAGGTAGAATGCAAGGAATGTTTGACGGATGCCTTAAATTTCACAGTCGATTCGTGTGCGAGTTATAACCGATTAGGAGGTCAAATTAAGGGGCCAAGTTGCCAAATGAGATATGATGTTAAACGTTTCTTTAATGTGTCGTCGTCCGACTATAGCTCTACTCCTATGAGTTCCAAGTCCAAGGCTAAACTTTCTTTCCTTATCGTAATCATATGTGTGGTTTTTGTCTTTGCATTGTTGGTTAAAATAATTTGTCGAAGAAAATCTTAAGTTTGCCCAAGTTTATAATTTATTAGACCTATTAAATGTATTTGTGAATTGTGAGAAGATACCTTTAAAAAATCATACATTTGAAAAAAGAATCTTATTTTTGTATTCTAGTGGGAAAATCCAAATTAATTTCAATTGTTGACTTGTCTTATTTCCGATACTTTAATCATTTGTAATGCACACACACTAGCTAACTCCATATTTTACCCTACTCTCACTTTTTTCTCTATCTTTCTATCAATTTGCAAATAATTTAACAACCCTAATTTATTTGAAGAGCTTGCCCAATAATTTTAATATTGCATGACCTTTAGTCCAATTTTATTTTGAAAAGAGAAAATCATGTACTATAGGAAATTAAGAATGGAGATGTGTTAGAGATATGATATATATAGTTGTCCCAAGATTTAACCTGCTCTGATATCATGACAAATTAGAGAGGAAATAGAATAGAATGACTTGTTTATGAATGATCAATAGGTAGAGTATGTGTACAAAACCTACGAACATAAAATAGGAAACAATATTCCTAAAAGATATACTTTATAACCTAATGATATATTCTCTAAACAATATCTTAACATAAGATAATACTAAATATATTATTTTCATAACAATTTCTATACAGAAAATATATCACATATATTTTCCGATATATCATATCTCTAATAAGATGTATATATAGGAAGAGAGAAAGAGCTAGTAAAAGTGAGATTGGGGATGGAATTATGAAAATTTATGGATCGAGCATGCATTAGGTGCCCTTTCTTGATAAGATTCAAACCCTACACTTGTATGATCTAAGGCGAATGTCATATCAATTGAGTCAAATGTTGCTTAATATGAAAATCACAATTAATGGACTTCTCTTTGGTTTTTTTGATAATTATTAGGCTATACAGAGTCAATTAAACAGGCAAATTGACCGCTTTAGTTATATTATATGTACTAATTAATTGCCATCATTTATATTTTTATATTAAATATCATAGGATGCACTGAGTCATTAATTGCTACACATGCATACTTTTATTTAGTTGTTACTCATTTTCGTTCATATTATAATTTACAAAAGGCAGCTAAAGTTAGTTATTAAGCAATATGATACAACTTAGTGATAATATACAATAATGTGGTACGCTTCCTAGGTCAAACATAGTTGGATAGAAGTTACTTCCCTCCTACTTCAAAACAATAATAAAATAGTCAATGCAAAAATTCCTTATACTAGCTGTTTGGGTCCAATTTAGTCCAATTGGGCCTGGTCACTGAATGATCCAATTAAAAGCCCAAGGTTAAGGTTCAACTCTCCAAATGTGCTAAAGTCAAAAATCAACATCCTCAAAGCCATGTCAAGGTCAGTCAACGGCCCAATCAGCTTGGCCCAGCCCAACTGACTTCCGGGCCCAATCCGCCTCCTTCATTAGCCAAGGTATAAAAGCCAACAATTTGGTCAATTCTTGGTAAGACAATAAAGCCTCAAGCAACTAAACTCTTGCACAGCTTTCTCTCTCTAATATACTGACTTAAGCATCGGAGGGGCCTTCCTCGGCGTCCCCCCCGAGGCTAGTTTACGTGTATTTGTTGTGCAGGAAACCCTCGGCTCCTGCGTCGTTCGGACCGAGACCAAGTTCCCTCAAGATAAAAGGATCTTCCGAGATTCGATTGTTTTCATCCGAAACAATTTGGCGCCGTCTGTGGGGAACGCTACTAAATTTCGCGTCAGTCATCAAACACTCCGGCAGTCGCCATGACTAAGAGTGGAAAGAGTTCCAAGAAGGCTAAGAAGGGAGGAGGCCAGATTACGGTGAGGGAACGCCAGCCGGTTTATCCCTCCCCGGAGCAAGCCTCTTCCGAATCGGAGGCCCCCATTTCTCCGGAAAGGGAAGCCTCAAGAGGTCCTAGCCTCCAGGAGGAGAACACCTCGCACCACACTCGGCAGCCGGGGCCATCCCCGAGACCGAGTGGCTCAGGTGCGAGGAACTCCCCGCCGCGCCATAGCGTGCAATCCAGGTCACATCCGCGGGAGACTCCTCCCTCCGGACCCTCCACCGAGGAAGTGGCCAGAGCAGTGGCCATCTGCATGGAGTTCCTTAAAGCTCAAGGGGCTCCAATCCAGATGCCTGATGATCACCAGCCGAGAAACCTGAAAAGGAGGATCGGTCAGGATGATGGTGGACAAGTTCCACCACATAGAGAGCTCGGCCAGAGGTGGCGAGGGGACACCCGAAACTCCAGTAAGGAGAGGAGGAGGAACCCTCAACCCTCTGACCACTCCGAAGCTCAGAATTCCATGGGGCCCTCCAAGGACCCGGAATTCGCCCGCCAAAGCGTTCACGAACGCTTGGGTTCGAGGGAGGTGAGTGTGCATAGCCGCCTCACCTTCCCAGAGGATACCGGACCCCACCCAACCTTGTCTCAGCCGGGGACGAAAACCACTTCCACCTCTGAGAGAGGAGGGAGCGAGGTCCCTGAGGCTGGGTACAAGGGGAAGGCGGTCATGGTTCCATCGAACTCGCCCTTCCAGAAGTGGATTCTGGAAGAGCATGTGCCAACGGTCAAAATCCCGGCACATATTACTTACGATGGTACCTCAGATCCTAAGGATCACATTGCCTCTTACGAGGGGCACATGTATCTGAACCCGAGGTCTGAGGCTACCTGGTGTAAATACTTTCCTACGACCCTCAAAGGTGTTGCCCAATCCTGGATCACCAAAGGGCTCAAGGAAGGCTCCATAACCGGTTGGAACGACCTCTCCAACAAGTTCAAGAGCAAATTCTCTACGGCCAACCGCCGAGAGAAGACCACTGCAGAGCTAATGAGTCTGCAGCAGGCGGAGGACGAGAGCCTCCGCGACTATCTGACTCACTTCAGCAACGAGTCATCCGGAATCACAAGCCTGGATCAAGGCCTGGCCGTGTTCGCGCTACGGAACGGCCTCCAAGCTGGAAAGTTCCTGGACTTCATGGTCATGCATCCCCCGCAGACCCTGGAGGAAGCCTTGGAAGCATCGGATAGGTTCATCCGAGCCGAGGAGTGGAACAGATCCAGGTCTCAGTCTCGTCCGAGAATTGAGAAGCCGAAAGGGCAGCAGCCCGAAGTCTCGGCGCAGAGGAAAGGGAAGGCTAAGGCCTCAGAACCGTCCTCTGCTGCCGAGCCGAAGAAGGAAAGACACTTTCCCTACACGGGAAGGTACGATTCATACACTCCACTCTCCCTTCCCCGTGCTAAGATTTTCAGCACGACGAAGGACGAGGGGAGATTCAAAAAACCTCGTCCGTTGCCTCCCTGGCATCAGACGAGGGGAAAGGACCAGTGGTGCGAGTTCCATGACTCACCCGGACATCGCACCGAGGACTGCGTCCAGCTGAAGGACCAGATTGAGGATCTGGTCCGCAAGGGGTACCTGAGCCAATACCTCGCGGACAGGCGCGAGGAGAAAAAAGCTGAAAAAGATTCTCGGCAGGACCTCAACTACGCTCGGAAGAAGGATAAGGGACCTCAGGGCAAGGAGTCCCTCGACATCCTGGTTATTTCCGGGGGAATCTCGCGAGGCACAGCCAAACGCCAACTGAGGGGTCTAACCCATCAGATTCATCAGGCTGAGCTTCGGCAGTCCCAGTCACCGGCGCCGAACATCCTGTTCACAGCCGAAGACTGTGAGGGGGTGGTATACCCCCACGATGACCCACTAGTAATCATTCTGGGCATCGCCAACCGCAACGTCTGGCGGACCCTCGTCGACGGCGGTAGCGGGGCGAACATCCTCTTCCGAGGAGCGTTCGACCAGCTGAGGATGGGAGCCGAGCACCTGGCCCCCGCACCCTACCCGGTGTCTGGATTCAACGGCTCTTCCTCGTATCCTGACGGGAAGATTACACTTCCTGTCACCATCGGCGAAGGCCGAGCAGCTAGGAATATCATGGCCGAATTTTTGGTCGTAGATGCTCCATCTGCATACAACGTGATCATGGGGAGACCCCTCATTCACGGCATTCAAGGAGTCGTCTCCACGTATCATCAAATCATGATATACGTTTCAGACGAGGGACGCTCCGAGAAAATAAAGGGCAGTCAAAAAGAAGCCCGCCGATGCAATCACCTCAAGCCATCCACGTCTCGCCGAGGCGACCGTGGCGATGGGGAGGAAAAGCACCGGGACCGAAACGCCAAAAAGCCGAGAGGCTCAGACGTTTCGGCTAATGAAGCCCCAGACAACGAGAAATCTGATGGGGGCCAAAAGGCTGACTCCGCCTCAGAGCCGAACGACTCTGATGGCCAGCCGCGGTCAGGAAAATCTGCTAATATTGATAGCAGGCCGGAATTCGAGGAATCCAACTCTAAGAGCATGGAAACGGATGACCTGACCGAGTCAATAGAACTGACCGTAGGAGATCCGAACAGATGTGTTAGCATCGGGTCGTCACTGGAGCCAAACACCCGTGCGGCACTCGTCCAACTCCTACGGGCCAGTGGAGACGTGTTCGCCTTCTCAGCCGCAGAAATGCCCGGGATTGATCCGGACTTCGTCTCCCATAGGCTTAATGTCGACCCCTCCAGTCGACCCATTAAGCAGAAAAAGCGGAACTACTCCGCCGAAAAGAACCAGAACATCGCAGCTGAGGTCGATAAGCTCCTAGATGCTGGGTTCATTGAACCCTGTCAGTATCCGGAGTGGCTGGCCAATGTTGTAATGGTTCAGAAGGCAAATGGTAACTGGAGGATGTGCGTTGACTTCACGGACCTGAATAGGGCATGTCCCAAGGACTCCTATCCGCTGCCGAGGATCGACCAACTGGTCGACTCGACAAGCGGGCATGCTCTGCTCAGTTTCATGGACGCATTCTCGGGATACCATCAGATCTTCATGCACCCCGAGGACCGAGCTAAAACAGCGTTCATAACAAGTTCCGGGTTGTACAATTACAGAATGATGCCCTTCGGATTGAAAAATGCGGGGGCAACATATCAGAGGTTGGTTGATCAGGTTTTCGCCG